ATTCTCCGCCGATAAGTATGTCATCTAAAAATATTAGTACTCCTTCAATTCCGGCAAGTAACTCCTCCATATAACGCTGGAAGATCGCTACGGCGACGGATACTCCAAATGGAAGACGGTTAACCTTGAAAAGTCCCTTGTGCGTCGTGATGGTAAAAAGCTTTGCGGACTCATCATCGACGGTCAACTGCTGGTAGGCCTGTGCAAGGTCAAGCTGTGTAAAGCGACGGCAACCCGCTAAGTTGCTCAGGAGTTGCTCTGGCGTGGGCAATGGGTAAGATTCCCACTTCACTGCCTTGTTTACGGTACTTTTATAGTCACCGCAAATCCGCAATTCACCACTCTTTTTCAGGATTGGAACTATCGGTGTAGCCCAATTTGAGTGTTTTACAGGTTCAAGGATTCCCTGCTGGACCAACTTTTCTAGTTCTTGCTCCACTTTCGGACGCATCGCATAGGGAACTTGCCTTGACTTGCAGAACTTAGGTGCAGCAGATCTGTCGACCTCCACACGGATGGGTGGTCCCCGACTCTTTCCCAGGCCAGCGTCGAAGATTTCCTTGAACTCCTCCAGGAATCCGCTACCCTCCTGGGTGTTCCTGAGTTGATGGACACCTGTGAGGCCGATTCCTAGATGCTTGAACCAGTTTCGTCCAAGAAGGCTTGCGTACTCTCCCTTGACCACCAGAAGTGGCAGAGTTGCCGACCTTTCTTTGTGTTTAACCTCCACGAGTACTCTTCCTAGGACGATAACAGGCTCCTTCGTATATGTGCGTAGCGTAACCGTAGATGGTTTCAGCTTCTGATTTGGAATATGAAGTCGTGCCATTGTTCTCCTGCTTATGACAGAGAACATGCATCCTGAGTCAACCTCCATCGCTGTTGGCTGTCCGTCGATGTCGACGTCTACGAGGATAGCAGGTTCGTTGGACGAGAGGTTGTACAGCTCGTACATCTTGGTGGTATCGCCGTCTAAAAGATCAGCTTGCGCCGTCCCCCGTCTTGCTCTTGGAGGACTTTTCTTAGCCTTCTTTTGAAGACAGGCTTTGACAATATGTCCTTTGCGGCCACAGAACAGGCATGTGGCGTTCTTGAAGTGGCAATCCTGAGGAGAGTGTGCCCCGTTGCATCGATAGCACACGGAAGTCGCTTGCTTGGTTTCAGGCTTCGCATGATGTTGTGGAGGCGGTGACGGTCCAGGTCCATCTTTAGCCACGCTGTGGATTTGGCTGACGTCCTTAGGCGTAGTCCTAATCTCCATGGCATTGTTCTTCGCACATTCCGCTGCTATTGCCAACTTCTCCGCTTGAGCCAACGTAAGCTCGGCTTCGCTCAGCAGACGTCGTTGCAAGGCCTCATCTTTAACTCCACAGACAATCTGGTCGCGCAAACTGCTGTCAAGGGCGTCTCCGAAGTTGCAGGTAACTGCAATACGGCGTAAGTCCGCGATGAACGCAGCCATGGGTTCGTCGCTGTGCTGTGCCCGCTTATGAAACTTAAAGCGTTCCACGATCTCCGAGGGCTTTGGTGCAAAGTGATTTCCCAACTTCTTAATGATGTCAGCGTAGTCCGTCTCTGAAGGTGTCGTTGGCGCGCAGAGGGAATGCAGTATTGCATAGGTCTCGGCTCCGCAAACGCTGCAGAACACGGCTCGCTTCATCTTGGGTGTAGCGATCCCATGGGCTTCAAAGTGGAATTCCAGCCGTTGAAGGTATAATGGCCATGTCTCCGGCTTACCTGCCTGGAAAGCTTCAAATGTCAGCGATGTCCTTTCAACCATGATGAGTTGCCGGAGTCTCGCCCGCTTTTTCCGATTTCCTCGTCGCCAAATTTGTTATGTACATTTAATTACACTGAAGCTATGTACATATATACAGGTCAGGTTCGGGACAGTACATGATGGACTGGCGGTTCGATCAGCGGTCCGAACTGCACGAGCACGAGCACTCACAAACCTTGTCACTCGTCGTCTTCTTCCATTGACGCGAAGGTACGCTCGCATTCGCGCCTAGCAGGCGCATATCTTACAGAGAGCGAGCTCCGGGGTTTCAGCCTCTCTGCCAAGTACGTGCGCTCGTGCAGTACAAGCATAGTTCTGAGCAACATGCTCGTACGTGTAGCTATGGCTTCGCTCGCACATGAAGTGACACAAACTCTACACTATTTACAAATTACTTATACACGAGTGGGTTGAAACCAGAAATTGTATTATAATTAGGGATGCCGCGAACTTTTTTCGAATCGAAGTTTCGATGATCGAATCAAGCGGTTCGAAAGGTTCGAAAGATTTCGATTTTTCGAATTGTCTATATCGTAAAATTCAACGGAGGTCGAATTTTCGAACTTGTTAAGCTAAGAAGTTCGACGCTTTTCGAACCGTCGAACTTATTACGCTAAAAAATTCGATCTTTTTCGAACTTTCGAACTTATTGCGCTGCAAGGTTCGATGCTCGTCGAACTTTCGAACTTGACTGACCAAAAAATTCGATAAATTTCGAACTTTCGAACCTATTTATCAAGAAAATTCGAAAAGTTTCGAACTTTCGAATTCTGAAAAGTCAGAGGTTCGACGAACTTCGAACTTTTAGGGTAAAAGTTCGACGTTCGTCGAACTTCGAAAGACCGGCGGCCGGTTTCATTTGATTTCAAGGAGTGGGGTACATTCGTAATTTTTTTTTCTCGAACTTTTACACGCGGTGCTGCGTTCCTTACGAAAGACAATGTCATTTATTTCAATGTTCTGGCATGCTTAGGTTTAAAGAAATAAATCCCCGAAGGGGCGAGGACGGACGACGGGTTTTTGACGATTATCGTTTGTGCCAGATTTGAAGCACGCTGCAGCCGGAGCTATTTATGGTAGATATGTTATACTTTTTTAAGAATGATCTATGTATAGCCTAGGTAAGTGCCGTCTTAAGATGTGATTATTGTTATTCAACGTGAGTTTCGAAGAAATGTCCAAACATGTATCTGCATGCAATTATGACCTAAACTTGATATTTATTTTCGTCTAAGTTGTTTGAGGTATCGCATTTGAATTAGCACCACAGACAGTACATATCATTGCCATCTGCAGAATACAAAATAATATATTTATTGTTTTTTCACGTTAAGGAATAAATTAACTCATTGCAGAAGATTTCTAGTAGTGTTCAAGTTCAGCACGTCATTAAAAGAAAACTTTTTTTTTTTTTTTTTTTCGCTTCACGTTCCTGGGACGTGTTTCTTTTAGCCTGTACACATTTTGGTAAAAGAAACTTGTTTCAAAGTTCTGAACCTCTGAATATGCACGAATAGAACACTTCCGACGAATTCTTGATAGTTTTTTTTTTTTCTCCTGCTTTTTATTCCCGCATTTATTCGTTTTTTTTTTTTCTTTTGTTACTATCGGCACAGGTGTTTAGGTCGAAAAGACAGCTTTGAACTTCCGAACCACTAAGCATGTGACGAGCAGTGCCTTCTGACAACGAGTTTCTAACAGTGACCATCTACGCAACCTTTTATGCAGTGAAGAGCGACAGTAGCTATACATATGCATAAATAATTTCAGATTAAAATAAGCTCGACCACGCCCTCTTTCCCCGTATTGTTTTCTTTAACAGTCCGAAATACCTGCAAAGTAGAAAAGGAGGCTGAAGCCCCCCCCCCCCCGCTATCCTCTTTCCCCCCGTTTTTCCTCTTCTGACGCCACTTGTATGGTAGAACGCTCCTCGACCTCGAGTTGTGTCGGCTTTTGTGCTTTTTGCGAGGCGATTCCTCCGTCCCAGAAAATAAACGTCCAGGACAATTACAAACTTCACCGGATCGGATTACTACCAGCGTGCAAGGGGTGGCGAGCTAGTTTGCCAGGTCGCTTCAAGGTTTTTCTGAGCCTCAACCTCCTGCTCGCCCCTGGCCGTTTCGAACTGGATGAGTCTCGTAAAACAGTGTGTTCGTGCAATCACTACTGCGTGATAAAGACCCCCCCCCCCCCCTTCCCCCCCGGGGGGCTGGCGGTCACAATTCTGCACTGGCAAATATTCTAGCACGTCCGGGACACTCGTCGTCTCATTTAATTGCCTTACCAACTTCGCAGAATCTAGATATCACACCCTAACTTTTCTAAACTTGATTTTGTGAAAACAAGTGAGCCGTGAAAACGTTATTTGAAACTGAAACTGTAGAAAAACTTGAAAATCGGACTTCAAACTTTGAAAACTTGGATTAGAAAAAAAATCAAAATCTTCGAAGTTTTTTTTTTTTTTTTTTTGAATGTAGCGTTAAAAGAGAATCGAAACTTTCGAACTTTTCGACCTTTAAGCCAAAAGAAATTCGAAATCTTCGAATCGTTCGAACTTCATGTCTTTAAAAATTCGAAGCGTTCGAAGTTTTCGAATCTTTTTTACAAAGAGTTTCGAAATCTTCGAATTTATCGAACCTGAAGTAAAAAAATATTCGAAATATTCGAATTCGAAATTTTAGAAACCGTGAAAGCTTCGAAATTTTCGAATTCGAAGCTCCTCTGTGGACAAAAGTTGCGAATTTTTCGAAATCGAACCTCGGTCGGTACGAAAATATCGAAATTTTTCGAAATCGAACCTTAGTTCGCTTCGCAAAAATCGAAACCTTTCGAAATCGAACCTAGGGTGGTTCGCGACATCCCTAATTATAATAATGATACAAATAAGATACACACACAAGAAAAAGAAGCTTACAGTGTCTAGTTGCCGGTTTCTGATGTCTGTTTTTACACAAAAAAACAAGCGAGCAAAACTGCAAATGCGGCTCAAGCTCACCCAGATCACTCAAGCCCACGTTGATATTTCTAGAAACATAGCCAGTTTATATTTTTGATGCAAATTGGATTATTTACAGGTGAGGCAGCAAACACAAGCAAGTCAGCAAGAGTGTAATCGTTCAGCGAAGGTCAAAAAGTTCAGTGAATTGGGGTGCTGTCGTCGCTGGTCCACATTTTAACAGGATCGAAAGGTGTATTGGCAAATTTAACGGTGAAAGCTTACCTATGGAAGGCATCTGTCGGTACCATGCCTTGTATAAATTTAGCGCACGCCGCCTCGCTTCACCCTGATCGAGCGAAAGAAGCGGCTTTACAGTTCGGGCAGTCGACTTTACAAGGTTGGACGCCATCTTGAGCCGAGTGCGACGGCGCGACGGTGCGACGCCTTACGGTGGAGTGCAGAACTTCGGCTTGCTTTAAAACAGAAAACGAAACTCATAACTATTATTTGATTTATAATTTCAGGCAAACACAATTTTGATATATTTATTATTATATTTATTGTAAAACTTTTTATATTCAAATTCACATTTGGCAGAAAGGCACGCTCAAAACTAAATATCTCCGATGGTTCCCTTGGTCCTCTTTTCTGTCCCGTTCATTGGTTGTGGGCGGTATGGATTGAACGCACTTTCCCCTTCATCCCTTCACCAACGACTAGATTCAAGGGCGATAGGCACCACCACCCCTTTTTCAACAAATAAAACATTTTCTGAACTGATCTAGGGCTGGTGATTAAACAATTTATTTGTTATTGGAACAGTATAAATATAGGGTGGTCCAAGTTTACCAGGCTCGATCTAAGATGGACCGTAAAAATCGAAGCCTGCACGTACCAATCTAAACTTTTCGTCAAAGGTGTAATGGACCTTTTGTAGAAACATCGGTTCGAGAGTAAATGGTTCCAATACCCCCTCTCTCTTCCTTCTGGCCGAGCAGAGAGGGAAGATGGTTTCGTTGTGTCGACTTCGGGGCGGAAGATTACGCACGATGGGGACAAAGGCGAGTTTGGGGGAGCTGTATCTAGGTCACAACGACTCAATTATGGGTTAACAGGATGTAACTGAAGCCTTGGGTGTGGAACGGGTGGGAGAGGCCTTGCGCGCGCGTTGTTTTCTATCCACTTAGCCTTGAACCCAGTCGCGTGTCTAGGTGGCAGCACATATTCGCCAAGAAGTCCATTCACAGGTCAGTTTTTTCTTGTAAAATTACAAAGCGTAGCTCTCTTTCTGTAAAGAATAAGGCCAAGAAACTTGCCAGGGTCTACGGCGGGCAGCAACGCAGACGGTAGGCGTCCAGTAGCGGGATGTGTTTCGAGTTCGTATTGACCTCGGCTCGCGAACAGCGTGGTTTATTAAAATCAATATAATTCTTGAAATGTACCTTCGGTTAAAAATAAATGCGAACAATAAAAGCAAATCTTAAAGTAAAAAAAAAAACGCGTCTGCATAACGGCGGCTCTTTTGCTACCAACGAATTTTGTCTGCGTGTCGTCTGCTATCTTTTGCTGGTCGGCTGCACCATCAGACGCTGCTCCCGACGCCATCCATCAATACAAACACCAAACACACTCTGCTACTGGACATGGTCGTCTGGGTCGCCGCCCGCCATAGACACTGGCAAGTTTCTTGGCCCTATTTTGTTTACTAAAAGAGAACTACGCTTTGTAATTTTAAAAGAAAAAACCGACCTGAGAAATACACCTTTGACGAAAATTTTAGATAGCTACGTGCAGGCGTTGATTTTTACGGTCCATTTTAGATTGAGCCTGGTGACTTGAACCACCCTATACATTTCAACTAACTAGCCATTCTGTTTTCTGTTTTAACTTCAAACCTAGTTAATAAAAAAAACAGAAAATCGAAACTAAAAATACAAACATATACCTACACTTAATTTTTTTTTTTTCGCCAAGTGGATTGGACTGAAGTGATGGCTTCGTTTTGTACGTTGGTGCATGCCATAACCGAGGTGAACTAACCCAGGCCAGGCAGCTCTGATACGGCAAAATAAATTTGCAGACCCCAATCCTAGGCTTTCAAACAGTCCGCACTACGAGCGGACAGCCCTCACTTCGCTCGCGAGAGCCGCCAAGGGCTCGGCAAGCCAGGCCACAAAACGAATGCTGGTGACCAAGGTGATGTGCGCATAATGACGCTTTCGGCAAAGCGTAGCGAGGTGTGTCGATGAAATGAACACGGGAACCTTTTAAATATACAAACTGTCGATGAAACGTCGATCGACGAACTGATTGCCGCTGTTTGGAGAGGGTCATAGACAGCTTAAAAAAATTATGCCCTCTTACAATCAAACTCCAAATACACTCCAAAGTGGCGTGCGCAAAAGATACCATAAAAATGGCAAGTCTATTGATTGTATGCAATCTCCAGGAAGTAATAGTATTACAGTCGAGCTCGGTCATATATAATTCAGGTATTTCAAATTATTGTTTAAATCAAACAATCCGAAAATCCCCTTGCAAATCACATGCATTCCTATAGACCAACACGCGGCCCCGACGTCATGCAGCTGTGGTGGCACTGTCGACGGCACTGCGCATGCTCAGACGCTTCACTTCACATGAATTTGGTTTCTGTGCACGCGCAGTGCCCACACCTGGTGTGGGCAAATGCGGGCTTGTTTGTAAACAGCGTGTCGGTCTATAGGAGTGTTGTCTTTTTCTATCGAACTTTCATTGCGGGGACAATCGATATAGCGAAGGAAGCCCGGCAGCTTGTTGCTCCCCGGAATCTGATTGCACCAATGGAGAGCACACCGCCTGCGTTCGGGGGTTGGCAGACCGCCAAGCCAGCATACCAGTGATGTGATTGGCCAAAACCGTTTTGGAGCACCTTCTGGAGCAGCCAAAACAGAGTTTTGGAGCAGAAAAACTGGCTTTTGGAGCAGCTAAAACAGTTCTTCGGAGCAGCGAAAGTGGCTTTTGAAGCAGATATTCTTAGAAAAAAAAAAAGATATTAATTTTAGGTGGTGGACAAATGAAGGACACATTGCTCGCCGCAATCAACCGGTTATTGTCACGATAGACCACCTGGGAGTCTTTCAATAACACATTTTGCAATGCTTCAGTTAAATGATACGAATAAATCGGACGAAACTGCAGATATTAAAATTTATTTGAAAATGACCGGTTTAGTAGTAAATAGAGAGTTTTAGTAGATCGTTTTCAAAGGCCTGCTACAGCTACAGGCGCGCGCTTCAGAGCATGCATCGAAGGGGTAGCGCGAGCTCCCGCTACAAATAGCGTGACCCGAAAACACGATCTACCAAACCTCTCTATCATCACATCATTAGGTTGACTAGTAATATAAGAAATGGAAGCAGTCTCCCCGTGCAATGCGAAGTTGTCGCGCGAGCGGAGATGGCTGTTCGATCGAAACCATGCCACTCCGCTCCGTCTCCAACCAATTCCCAGAATTGTATGCAAAATGTAACTGTCCAACATAAGACAAAGAAAAAAAAAAAAAAACAGTCCAGCGGCACGTGCTTGCCAGTCCGGCAGGCGAGGTACAAGCTAAACACAGAAAAAAAGAAAAGAACCTGAGCGCATTCATGCAAGACATCGCGAGTCAGGGTCAAAAAGTTCTTGGAGCGCTTTGTGCAACGACTGAACTCGAGGCAAATAAGCAGGCTGTGCGGGTTCAGCCCTTCTTTGCTTTATCTCACTTTTCTCCCCCAACATCTTTCGCGGCTGATTTTTCACATACCGGGGTACGTCTCGAATGAAAGCCTACCGAGAGAAACCTAGGCAATCAATACTTCGACACTGCACTCTCTGAGCTAAAGGGATGTTTGTAGTAGCATATTAAACAAGAACAGGATTGTTGATGAACATGCGGCAGTCCTTACGTTTGAAAAGTTCCATAGCTGCAGTGATGTGGGGATGGCAACACCCGACGCCGCGCAACCATGGTGGCTGGCAGGCAGGGACCAAATATAGTTTGGCCACGGCCGTTGCTTTCAGGAGCGAGTGGTTCAGCCCATAAAGTAACCCCCGCCGCGCAAAAACATGGTTTCGTTTCACAGCACGACGGCATGGCTGGTACCCAGCACGCCAGCGTCGGAGCGTCAGCACACGCCCACGTTTATCATTGAATTTTTTTTTTAAAAGACGCGAGACGAGAGACGGCAGTAAGAATCATGCAAGACCGGATGAACGATTGATGCATGGTACTTTGTGTCGGATGTCTGCTTGCACCACCTAGCTCATATGTGCTCAATTACGGTACTCAGTTTAGTTTCGGTTTTCAAAGGCGACCGAAATTGGTCCTTTGGCGCATGCTTGGCGCAGATTACCCATATTTTGGCATAATGTAGCAGAATGTAGCAGGGTTAGTCCCTTGGCGCAGTTTGGCGCAATTGGCGCAGCAATCACATCACTGGCATACACGCGGTAAGATATAAGCCAAAGAGCAGTTGTGGAAAAAAAAGGAAAAGAATGGACCGTAAAAAAAAAGGGGAGGATGGCAAAAACAAGGGGGAAGGGCATGCGCACGCGTAGGGAGAGCAGGGAGTGGCCACTGTCTGAACGGTAGCCTGCTCCCTTTTCTCGAACACTGCTGATGCTGCGCGACTGGTAAAACCCAAAATAAAATAATAAAAAATAAAATAAAAGGTCTTCGGCAAGTCAAGTGTGTTGAGAACAACGGTTGTGCAGTCGCACTTCGAACACCTTATCTTTGTTTTCCTAGTTTCCACGATCGCAATAGGAGCAGTGTTAAGCTTATGACTTTCGCCTTCGGTTCCATTGGCTGGAGCGCGTCAACGGGGCTCCCATTGGCCGCCGTGCTCATCAGTTTCCACGACCACTCACCCCATGGTGCTGCGTGTCCATCAGCGCACTGTTAACACGGAGCGTCCAAGGTCAGCATGCCCAGGGGAGGATGCGCGCTGCCAGGCGACGAAAGGTACGCAGCAGACAAAAAAGGGAGAGGACGAGCGGCTTGCATGCTTTCGCATTCACAACTCATAAGTGCTTAGGTGTGTCTCGAGCTTCTGCCTTTCTTTTTTTACTGCTTAAATTTAGTGAGCTTTCTTTTTTGTTGCTTGCTTAACTTTTTGTTTTATTTTTATGCGTCTCACATTTTTTGTTTTTCTTTCATTTTGTTATATTATTTTTGTATTTTGTCGCTTATGCTGCATTAAGGTCCCGGGCCAGCCGCGCGTGTAAGCGCGACGGTGTTTGTGGTCTCTGCCAACTACGCTCTACTGTATTTAGAGGATCTTGGATGCTCTATTTGATAAGCTCCTGTTTGTTGCGACCTTCAGTATTAGCAAAGACGCCGGGAAATTTCAATTCGAGCTTAATTTAAATAAATTTTTGTATATAAAATTATTAATATAGCAAACTATTTTACGATCTCCTTTGAATTCAATATATCCGGGTTTGACTGTACATCAGTCATAAGCTTGCCAGCCTGGTGCGTTTTGAGCACGCCACTTTGCAGTATTTTCAGATGGATCGTAACGGGGCGTATTGTTTGAATGAGCCTATAGACCTTTCGGAAAAAGGGCTCCTGGCCGGTTCTATTTTCAGTATTTGTGCATACGGCACATGATTTGCTCGTTTTTCGAAGTGACAAAAGTGCACGTGCTGGGCTGAGGAGATTGCACGCTGGGCTGAGGACTTGCAAATATTAGAATGTTGTATAGACAATCTCATCCATTTCTAAATATCCACCTCTAAAAGCAATTTCATACTTCGGTCATAGCTCGGTGGGAGAACCTGTGACCATAGTTAATCACCAACAAAAGACACAGTTAGAACTTGCTTCATTACCAACACTGTTTCTGTTTCATAAATTTCCTGAAATGCGCAGGGAGCAACAGAGCAGCAGCGCTTCCCACGTCGAATCAACAAATAAGTTGACGGGCAAACGAGGCATGGAAAGAGACTTCAGAAGCCGGAAGTGCATAAACGGGGCAATAAAAATGTCTTTATTTGTAACAAGAGCTAGACATATTTTTCGGTTTAGCTGCATTGCATTCACAGACATGAGAGCAACACTAAAGCCCAGCATTCCACAGGTAAAGACTGTGGTCGTAAAAGGAACAGGAGGCCAGGGCACCATCTTCGGCCCAGTCGATTCCATACACCATCGATTCGTGCTTCGTGAACTTACTCACACACTGGGCTGTTTCTGAAAAGCAATAGGTGGGGGGTATAAACATAGCTTACAAAATGTTTTAAAGATCAACCACACTTTGGCCACACTTATGTCAGGTGGTTCTCAATACTGCAAACTCGCGTCGACGTAAGAGGTTTCAAGAGCCAAGTAAAGACTCCTGCGCACATTTGCGTAAGGGTGGTGCTTTCGGATGCGGCAGGCAGACGCAGAATGCTATGGAGCGCGTTTGCGTAAAGATTGTAAACACAGTTGTGTTGGAAGGCAGCCCACCACAGACAAGAGCCAATGAGGATGCACTATTGTTGCTTGCAGCTCACCAACAGACCCTTTTCCAAATTCAGTGCCATCAGGAGTTTCAAGAAGCAGTTTCACTTTTGACAAACTAATGGCAGTCACGAAACTGTATTTTGTTGGGCACCCTCACTTTAGCATGTCAATGGCAAATCAGAATTGGTTCTTTGGTCATCTCGTAATTCTTGATTTCTTTCAGTTTCAATGGTGTGAACATAAGAATTGACCGGTACAAAGCGGCGACCCATAAGCCCCCTGCTTAAATTTCTGCCATCAAAAGTCTTTAGAGTCTTTTGATACATGGGATTTAAAGAAGGAGTTCGAAGTTAGGTTCTCTGATTTTCAAAAACATTACAGTAGCATCCGAATCTTTCAAAATTCTTTTGTGAATTTAAGGTAGCACCCCAATCTTTCAGAATTCTTTTAAGGTGGAAAACAAAACAAAAACCCGTTACCATGGCACCCGCGCACATGCGCTTCCCGTTTGGTGCGTTTACTTTAAGCACAAGATAAACACCCGCTTAAACGCTGTGCTAGAAATATCTCCCTTTCAAGACATTTACAGAACCGTTCTTGCTGCCCCGAGGCACGAAATTAGGATCGATGACAAAGCCGTGTCCAAGCAGTGCACGTAATGCAAGCGTCAAGTTCTACATAACATGGCATGGAGAAAGAAACAGTTTTAAAGACAAGCACTTCTACCACACCCATTCAGCACCGACTGAAGAGTCGCCTGGTAGCGCTGCCCACAGCCACAGCAAGGAAAGGACTTTATCTGGCAACTACAATAAGAACAGTATTCCCACCTCTACATATCTTAACATGTGTTTTGGAACCACCAAGGCAGCTGTTTACCATCCCAAAAAATAGACCTGCGTCTTCACGGAAATGGTAAGACCGCGTGTTCCGACTCGTGACAGCGACACTTTTAAATACAAGGATGGTCAGACAAAGTAGGCCCTTACGCGAGTCGGCAGAGTAGCGCAGGACGCAGGCACCGCCGTGCATTGCTGCCACGGCCAAAAGCCGCGGGTCCCTCCGGTTCCACTTCAGACGCCACACTCCGCCGCCGACGGCGGACTCTCTGACCGGAGTTCGCGTCGTTCTCGTGTCCCAGAAGAAAACCGTCTCGTCGTAGCTGAGTTCAAGGCAGAAACCAGAACGATCGATATAATGATTTCAGGGTGAGACTTCAAGGTAAAGAAGAATGAACTGACTTCCGCCTGAAATGGAGTGCAACTCGCTCCCTCTAGGTAACTGGCAGCCGTTGAAGAAATCTGCCCGGTCCGGGATTCGAATCCAGGACCTCTCCAAGACTAGTGGAGCGCTTTACCAACTGAGCTAACCAGAAGCTAGCAGTTAGTAGAGCAAATGAATGTTAACAGTTGCCACCAGTCTTGAGCATAACTATCACAAGGGAAAATCACATGTTAAAGATTGATATAATGATTTTAGGGGAAGTCCGCACGGTGAGATTTACATAAGAATGAATGGCTGTACAGTAGGCTCGCGATAATTCAAACAAGGATATCTCGTACTTCTGGTAAATTCAAATTTCAATATTTTGGTTGGCCCACCATGTTTTCAATGTATTCATAAGGCACTTAACTTCAACTGCGTTTTCGTTTAATTCACACTTCTTGTTCTCGTGGTCCCGTCGAGTGCGCTCCTTTTTGAGCACCGGTGCACTGCGGAGAGGGAACACCCATGGAGCTTGCTTCTGCAGATATTGCTTTTCCGCAGTGCACCAGTGCTCGGTGAGAAGCACATTCTACAGGGCTCAAGCAAAGCACACCAGCTATGAAAACGGGCAGCCCGCAGAAATTTCCATAGAACCTTGCGCAGAAGCTGTGACGTGGCGGCATGGCATAAGTCCACCTCACAGCGTCCGCGCAAGATGCTATGAAAACTGCCGCGGTGTCCATTTTCATTGCTCACGTGTCCCCTGCTCAATAGTAAACATTAGACTTCTTGTCCTGATTATCGAACCTAATTTTTTTTTGAGCTGTCACGTGCTGTCTAAACAGTCAACAATAAACAAAATTTTTGAGGGATAAATAAACTTGTGTCATACATTTCACAAATATTTCATGAGTGGCATATCTGCTTATGATCAGTCGGCCTACGCGGAGAAAATCATCACATATCTGCTTTGCATGTACTTTTCATGTATTCATATGGCGAATCACAATTTTATCTTGCATCATATTTAGATGAATTTCTGATAATTCAAACGAAATTTGTGGCTTCCTAAAGTTCGAATTAATGAGAGTCTACTCTAGTGAGCAAGAATGAAATGGCAGTAGCCAGAATTCCCGGGCTGCCATACTGGCGAGCTTAAATAGACCACACCGGAAACTCTGACAATGATACCTGATACTCCTTTGGCACATATGCACATGGAGCGTGCCACTTTTGAATATCATTATCGGAGTCATCGGAACAATTAAATAAAACTCCTGAGCATTGTAATGCTCCAGTAAGACTTTGTTAACGTTGAGCTGGTTGGGGTGCCTTCGAATTTGTCGTGCGAATGTTTACAAAGCGAGACATTAGTTTGCCTTAAGAAGACGGTGTCTGGCGTCTCCACTGTGAATGGGCGATTTGGCTGGAGCACAGCAGCTGTAATTACATGACCACGCGTCAGAACTATCTTTATCCTTGTTTGATTGGGTTTGTCGTTAAGTGTCAAGTTCAAATACAGTAAAACCTTGTTATAACGAAGTTGAAAGAGCGGCCGTAATTATTTTGTTATAACCATTAGTTTGTTATAGCCAATGTCCATTTCTTCCCACTATTAGCAAGCAAGGGGAATTACAATTCCTTTGTTATATCCATTAGTTTGTTATATCCCATTTTGTTATAACGGGGTTTTAGTGTAGTGAGCAGCTCACTTGTCAACATTACAAGCTGAAAGAATTGTGACAGTCTTGACAAAAAGATCAAGGCTCATCATTTGCATGCTGGGCATGAGGCTATGGGACACTGCTTTCTCTTATGACTTTGCCACAAACAATGCATTCACAACATTTTCAGGAGCTTTGTCGAGTTTCTCATGACAAACATTTTTCTTGGTTGAACCGAGAAAAATATGTGGTTCTCTGCCTTGGCCCCGGCGTTCAATCAGCCTTACCCTCCGGTTGCCAGCAGATGGGCCGTGCTGGGATGAGACTGGATCGCAGTGACACCCATGGAGTGCCTGGAAAGCCAGACACCAAGTGTAATGTGTTTACACAACTAGACAGCAGTATACGAGTTTAGTCAGTCATTACATCACGACGGCTCACAACAAGCATCCACTAAAGGGTTAGAGAGAGGATTGGTGCATCCCCTCTAACTCGTGATAAATGAGAGAGAGCAAGGTAAAAAGATTTAATTGAGGTGTACTTCGATAAAACATATCAAACACGAGAGCGCAAGCACGCCGAATCTGATTTATCATCTCGAGAGACTACGCTGTCTCCAGACATTAAAGGGGCCCTCCGGAGCTTTCTGCGATAGTCTGTTTTTGTTGTTATATTGCGTAGTAGGTGCAAGTTAAAATGTATACAAAGTTTTAGATTACAAAACTGTTTATTAAGCAGATGGCAGAAGAAATATATCGGAACTATTTTCTCTTGGAAGACAGTCCCCCATTCCCTGCCCATCGCTAAAACTTGACCAATGGAAATGCTGCATCTCGCGGTGAATGCGAACGTTATTATTGCAACACTTTTTAAGCTTGTTGTAAATTAGAGTTTGAGAAAAACGTTAACTGATTGTGGTGCGGGAAACATAGTCCGCAATTACCGCTCCAAAACCAGCGAACTATGTTTTCTCCTCGCAAGCTTGTTGCTAGGGGGTGATGCGTCGGCGCGTCGGCTCGTCTGCTTCCCGGGGCGTCTGCAGGTGTGCGTTTGCGGGACACATGTTCCTTCTTCCCGTGAATCCCGACTCCGAAGCCAGCTTTGCGATCCTTCCACGTCAACGAGTCAAACTTTTCCTTGTCATCTGTGGAATGCGACTGCGTATTGCAGTAGCAGCGCGACGGTGCGGTGCGACGAACGACGACTGCCAAACACAAAGTCCGGAGAGATTCCTCCGCGGGTCGGCGGTCGGCCGCGTTGGTGATCCGCAGCGACGCCGGAATCCTTCGCTTGCTATTGGCTGACGCGTAAAGAGATGCCCCTCCCGTTTTCCGGGGTCATCTCAGAAAAGGGGGCGTGCCCGGGACTTCGATAGCAATTTTAATAGGGAAATCCGCCGCGCATGACCGTAATTTTATGATTTTTAGGATCCTTAGGGCCTGTAGATTCAGTTACCGCCATAAATAGACCATCGCAGAACGCTCCGGAGAGCCCCTTTAAATGCAAGGAAGACTCCAATCACCCGGGTGAAAATCAGTCTAAGCTGTAGCTGGATTATGAAACTGGTCCCAGGTAGAATCCTTTCCAGCTGGTTTCAGCTGGGATCGGTTCCATAATTGGATAGAAATATTAGATAGAGCAGGGGTTAGCAGGGGTTCTCAAACTCTTCAGTCTTGAGGAACCCCCATTTCTCTCGATTGATAGCCGAGGAACCCACCCTCTGGTGTCATTGCCAATGCAATGAAGCAGTGCAGAAGTCGATAGACCTTGTAAACAGTAATCCCCATACCAGGGGGTGTTTGTCACATTGTTACGCATCAATATATGACTGGGATATTTTAGAATATACAGTAGTGCTGAAACTGGAAGAACCCTTCTATTGGAAGCAGGGAGAGTCTAGAGCAGGGGTGCACAACTCAAAAATGACGTGGGCTAAAAATTGCTTTATTGGAAACTGCGCGGGCCGCACCTAGCGTGACACGTTACACCTTTTTGCTGCAGACAGGTTTTCAATGTCTGGCGTCATCGCACTGGTTGCCGTCTTCAGCACATCTCGCAGAGTCATGTCCGTCATAGAAGATCGAAGACGGTTCTTGTTGAGGGTCATCAGTGAGAACGTCTGCTCACAGACATATGTGCTCCCAAAAAGTGATGCGAGCTCCAATGCGTGGTCCACAAGGTTTCCGTACTTGCTCCTGGCAAGGCTTCTATAGAAGTCAAGCAGCTGAGACTCATGATGCATACTCTTCAGTTCTGGCGAGCACTGGAGGTCAATGAGCTCTAGCTGCAGCGTCGGACCTGTGTCTTCCGGTGCTAAAGAAAACGGATCGCGGAACAAATCGTAGTTACTCTTCTCACGTTCAAATGGCTTGAATCTTTGCTGGAACTCGGACAGCAGGTACTCAACCTCTGGAGCGTACGTCGCAGCTACCGTCTTCCGATTTTCGCCGGTGGGAAAGAGCTCCTGGCAGGTTGGAAAGTGAACTATGCTTCCACCCCCAAGCTGCAATTTGAAGAGGCGCAGCTTTCCCTGGAACGCGAAGATCGTGCTCACCATGTCCGAAATGAGATGGTCTTTTCCTTGGAGAGCTATGTTAAGCGTGTTCAGATGGCTTGAAAAATCGGTGAGGAATGCCAGATCCCACGACCATTGTTCTTCCTCCAGCTCTGGTATGTGTTTCCCTTCCTCTTGCAAGAAAGCGATGATGTCGGCCTTCAGCACGACGAAGCGACTCAGAACATTCCCACGGCTTAGCCAGCGAACTTCAGTGTGATACGGGATGCCCATCTGCTCACTATCCATTTCTTTCAGGTACTCTTAAGTTTCCTGTGCTTCAATCCCAGAGCACATATAAAGTTGACAACCAAAGTCACAACCTTCATCACATGGTCAAACTTCATCACTTTGGCACAGAGTGCTTCCTGGTGAAGCACACAGTGATATTGCTTCAGTTCTACACCACTGAACGTTTGAAATAAAACAACGGCTCCGTTTCTCTTTCCCATCATGGCTGGGGCTCCATCGGTGCAGACACCTGCGAGTTTTTCCCATGATAGCTTGAGCTTCTTGATGACGTCTTTGACCTCCTTGCTGATCTCTTTTCCCGTAGTCCGTCCGTGCATTGAGCAAAGCTCTGCCAGCTCCTGAGACACTTCGAAGTTTTCGTTCACACCACGGATGAAAACAAGCAGCTGTGCTGTGTCTTTGATGTCTGTGCTCTCATCTAAAGCAAGAGAGTAGTAGACAAAATGACTGCAACTCCTCTCCAGCTGTTTTGATAGATCGTTGGCAATGTCATGCACACGTCATTGTACTGTCATTATTGATAGGCTCAGGTTTTGGAAAACCAACTTCTTGTCCGGGCACATCTCCTCAGAAGCAATCATAAGACATTCCTTGATGAAGTTACCATTAGTAAACGGACGACCTGAACGAGCGATCTGTTGAGATATCTGAAAAGACGCCCGCGTGGCTGCTTCAGATGTGTTCTTTGTTTTTGTAAAAATACTTTGCTCAGCAAGCAAATTCCGTTTTTAGTCCTCGGACTTTGTTTTTCCCTCCGAATCCGAAAGAGCGCTGAAGTCGCGGGCGTGTTTGGTCTCGTTGTGGCGTCGAACGTTGTATTCTTTAGGAGCCGCGAGAGATTCTCCACACTCAAGACATAAGCACTTTGATGCGTTCTCAATGAAAAAGTACCTCCATGTCCACTCCTGGTTGAATTTCCGGCCCTCCTAGTCGATTTTTCTCTTCTTTGGAAGTGCACTCATACTCCAAGCGTGACACGACTAGTTTTTCTCTATTGGCAACAAGCTGTCACTGATTATGTCCCAACGGGAGGGGAGAGGGCTGTAGCCTCCTAGGAAGAAGAACTGGAACAAGGACAGGGGAGGGACGCTGTTAGGGGTCATAACAACACACTGGATGGCTGTACAGGCTTTGTATTGTTGTTTTCTGTGGTTCTAGTGGAGACGGAATATTTGAACTGAGGACGCGGAGTTTCCCCCCGGAAACGAGAACTCTGAGAAAAGTAGGTCAACGGGTTCGAATGCTTTCTGCCAAGTCAACGACCGCAGTGCATTGAATGACATGGTAAGCGGTTTCTGCGCTCAGCTGGGCCGCGGGCCACACAGAAAGTACAGTGCACAACATACGGCCCGCGGGCCGCATGCGGCCTGCGGGCCGTAGGTTGTGCACCTCTGGTCTAGAGAATCTGGGAGCTCTAGGGAATACCTTAACGGTATTTTGGGGAACCCTTGGATTCCTAGGGACCCAGTTAGGGAACTCACAAGTTAGAGCAGCAAAGCCCGAGAGCGACCTCTAACCAGAAAGAAAACACAGCTTACTGGTCGGTCCAGGTGGCTGCAGTCAGAAACTTACCGTATCTGCGTAACTCCCAACTACAGGAGCTGTCAGCATGATAGTATATACTACATAGTATAGCACCATACGGGCTCAACGTGTGAGCAAACAGATATCGAACACCCAAAGCACAACAACGGCAACGCACCTACGAATTGTCCTCACCCCTTCGGGAGATCTTGTGTCCCAAATTTTCAAGAGGCAGTCGTCACCGCCTGGAAAAAAAAAGGCACTGCCACTAATCACACGGGTCGAACCTCGACTTGGATCAACGACAACACTTCTCCACAGCAAAATTCTTGCTTTGCAGAGAACAAAACAATGCAATATTGAAGTATAATGCATTCTTTCAATAAAATTGTTCCTGTAGAGGGCAATTTTGGAAACACGGGACAAATTGCTCCTGCGAAGACTATGCATCGCACAGAAAATTGGTTGATGCCGTAGTGGTTCGTGCCAAAATGATTACCATTGAGGAAGATTTTTAACATTCAGTATGATTAGGTAATTAATTACTTCTTAATCGAAGGAAATAAAAGCATAGACTCGAGTGTGCTTTCTCGCTGGACTTGGAGGCACTGCACCAAGACAACATCTGCACGATCGGTATTCCGAGTGCCGTTTTCTCGAACCACATCATCGTGCCAGGAGGGGCAAAATATTCATGTTCCAAACGTGCCTTGTTTTCACAAATTCTAGTCATTGTTCTATTGTACAGGGTAAGACAGCCTTAAAGAAACAATGAGTCCCCCCAAATATATTTTTATGTTATGTGCCTGGAGAGGACACGTGCGTCACAAGATAATTATCGTAAAATGCATCGGAAGCGCCCACCTCGTTTAGTCGCCTACTATTAACATTTCCCAAACTTAGGAATTCTAGAAATTATACATTAAGCGCCCGGCTTGAACGGACAAGGGCCCATGTCTAGATGTATCCAGTTTTTAGCGAAAGTGGGGTGGGCAATCCACCAGGATTTTACGGTAGTTCCCTTTAAAGTTTTCTTGGTCTAATATTTACATTGCAAGGTGTAAATTTCGGGGTGTCTTCCCAAAATAGGAGCATGCTTAGAAATTCCTCCTAGAAGAGCACTCTTCTAGGAGGAATTTTCTGAAGCGCTTAAAAAACAAATATAGATCACAAAAAAAAAAAATAAAGAAGTTAGCGCAATATTTACGTTGTGACAGAAATTCTGAGTCAGGAGCAATTCTGAGACATGCTTCACCCTCGACAAGTTCCGAAATAAAAGCGCCAAAAAGAAGCACAAGCTGATAGTCAAAATCAGTTTAATGCAATAATGCGGCACAGTCGCCGACCGATTTTTCGGACTCGGAGGGGACCCCGAAATTGTCTGAAGAATCAAGTGGTCCGAAAAATAGATTTCAGCCCCCCAAATTATAAAATTTTCGCGCATATTCCATTTCGTACTGGCCACTTTCCACCTGCTTAATGTCAATTTTAAGTTCTTGTGCAACTTAAACTTTATGTTGTTCGCTTTTCACTTGTTTGTTGATGTGTTTGATTGCAGTGCTGCGCTTTGTCGGTGCCTTTGTTGGCACAAACGGCGAAGCTGAAGTTGGCGCCATTTAGCACTACTTGGAGACAATGTTTAGTCCACCAAGCTCTTCAATACTAATGTTATCGGCAAAGAACCATCGAGCTCGAAGACCACTAGATTGGCAAACGGCCACTCTTCTCGCCGTCACACCTGAAAAACACGCGCCACAGGAACAACTGGAAGAACCGTAAGAATGGGCAGACGGTGGCCACGTTGGCTATAGCGGAACCGGAAAACTCGTCTATAGCCTCAACTTAGCTTAGCGATCGAGGTTACAGGGTAAAATCAAAACAACCAAAATGGTGGCAACTAAACTCAAGGTGCTATTGCGGTGACTGTTTTGTGGCTGTAAACTGAGGAAATCACACAAATTATGTCAGAAATATTGAGCAATAAGGTTTATGACATCCAAAATTTCGGTCAATGTTATACATTAAGTCTCTGGGGTAAGTGACGGTTCGGTGAAAACGTCCAAATAATGAAACGTGTCTGAAAAATCGGCGTCCGAAAAATCAATTGGCGACTGTAAAACTTTTTTTCACAAAACGTTTCCTATGCAACATATTTTCTATCCAGGCCATATAAGAACAAAAACAAGTTTCTCTAGTTGAGTGTTTTCTTTAAAAGGGTTTGGAGATGCCAGAAATTAAGTATGGGATATCCATTTGCAGATACCACTAATAGCATATTCTATTTATGTATGTAAAAAATTTTTTGTTGTATTTTTCCTGTTTAATGAGTTGTTTTTTTCCAAGAGTGTTTGAGCGTGTTTATTCCCCGTTTCTTTGTTTTATATAACAATGTCCTCCAGCTTGTACCCGTACATTGTACGATGCCCATAAGGGCCTTCAAGGAATAAATGATGATGATGATGATGATAAACTTGTATGTCCCTATATTCTACTAAATTTATTTTGTAAGTGGCACGATAGTTTCAGGGTTAAATCTATTTTTGTATGGACCCTCGAATCGCCCCCACTCGGAAAGGCCGCTGTGTTTTGGTGTTTTGGTGGGACACCTCACCCAACATGCAGCGTCCGATCACATGCACTTGTGGACTTGGCTCTCTCGGCGTCTCGCGCTTCCTTTTGCATGTCGAGCACGCGGTTTCTAGATGATGACGTCTACGGCATCGCTCATTTTGTCGGAGTCTTTGACAATAATCGTAGCAGCGATGAGAGTAATTGCCTCCAAGGGAAGTTGGAAGTTGCCCATTTTGACTTCGACCTGCTGGCGATCAGCTCCGGCGACGGCGATAAACCCGTTGTCGTCTGCGATGACCTTGCACACGCGTGCCGGGCAGAAGGTCAAAGGGCAAGGGTGCAAGAAGCTGCAGTGATACCAAGTGATTTTCCCACCCCACCCCTAGTTTGTCTAAGGGTGCCCCTTGAAAAAAATCATCTGCTGAGTACAAAAATAGAAACACAAAAAACGCAATAAATTATTTTGTGCGAAACGTTTTTTCGAGCGTACTCGCTCAAAAGTGGTCCCTATATGGAGCACAGTACAGTACATCACAGTAGCATCAGAGCACAAGCTGTTTCGTTGCCCCTTTTCCACGCTGCTTAGCTCCAGGACTCCTAGTCCCATTAACGTGAAGGTGGACAGAGCACAGGTTTGCCCATTGAATACATATTCATTATTGACAATCACTGCGGTATCACAGCATTGATACCGTGACTGATATTTTCTGACATTGAATTTTGCTTTACTTTGCGCTTCCTTAAAAATACTATGCCTTCTTCAATAAATGTTTAAAATGTCAAGGTGAATGTAGAGTTACAGAGCCTCTGTTGGGCACCCCGCACGCATCTCTGGCCACACGCGAAAAAAGAGTGAAGTAAACAGAAAAAAGAAATTGCCTTTTTGGGCCTACACTCCCCCAGCCTCCTGGAAATTCGGACACCCCCCTAGTTTTAATTCCTGAGTAAACCCCCAATCATACTGCAGCAAGGCGAGGATGGGGGTGCCTTAAACGAGAGATTGTTTAACCATCACATGGTTCATGGGACAGTGGTACTGTTCGTCCAAAGACAATTCGTAGCAGGGCAATTGGTCACATAGGGCAATTCCTTCCTATGACAATTCGGGACACGAATGGGCGAAATGTGTTACGTCTATTTCATTTCTGCAATTTATCGAGCATATTGCTCCCAAATGAATAATCATAAGCCCGGCCTTTCATTGGCACATTTTCGGATCCTATATGTAAAAAGGCTTGCTGTAATGCTGTAAATTATATTTAATGTGAAGATCACATTTAGAAGGTAGGTGAGGTCCATACGAGGACAGAATGGGCTAAGAGTTATCTCTTTGTTAAGACCATCAAGGAATGGAATCCTCTTCCTAAAAAGATTGTTTGGTGTTTCACCCCCCACACAGCAAGAATGCCAGAGAAACGCCTAACTGGCAGAAGTTTGGCAGTCCCGGGCCTAATGTGGCTTTGGTAGAAGGCGACAGATGATGTCATAATATAAAATGTTGCAAAAAAAAAAGTTAGTGTATTTTTAATTGCAGAAATAAAAGTTTCGTCGCCAAACACTCATTCCTTGCCTTAAGCGCGAAACACATGTACGACGAAACCGTCCGATCCGACGTCCGACCGCGCAATATGACGGTCGGAGGCGAGGGTTTTCGTAGCATTGGAGAGCGTTGAAAACCCTCGCCTCCGACCGTCGTATTGCGCGGTTGGACGTCGGATCGGACGGTTTCGTCGTACATGTGTTTCGCGCTTTAATCTAACGCTAGTGGTCCGAATCAGATGCCAAAGTTTCATAACCGACCGCAATCTGATTCAAAAGTTCCAAGTAGTTTTCGGAACTTTCCTATGGGAAAACGGCGGCCGAGGGAGCTCTCGAATATGTGGAGCTGAATGGCACCATTACCAAAAACGGACCCCATTTTCCCATTGAAATTTTTCGAAAATCGCACTATTTCGAACGAGTTCATGGTTCATTTTGAAACTTCGGCGTCTGCTTCGGACTGCTAGCATTACGACTGAACGTTCGGCAATGCACAGTTCATTTCCACAATAAAAAAACAATGGAAACGTAAATGTTTTTTGGAGGACACCGTGTGCTGCTTTCTTCGGCTTCTCTATGGCTTTCCTCTGGTTTGCCACATAATTGCCAAAGTGCCATACTCGAGCCAAAGATGCCCCATATCGTCCAAACAACCAGCCGCGAAGCGGGTTTGCTACGGTTGATCGAATGTCATTTCATCGAAGCACGTTTTAGAGAACGGGCACGTTTTATCGAATCACGGTTTAGAGAGAGCAGAGCCTCAGTTTAGAAAAACGCCGTTTATCGAAAAGGGGGCGCTTTTTAAAAAAGCTTTCCTACTTCTCGCGTGTATCACTGGTGCGCATGTTAAGCCATGCCCCCCCGCAGGCTCCCGCCTCTTCGCGGCGGCAGTCTGCGGCGGCTCATTAAAAAAATTGTTAGCTCACTTGATTAACCCAAACACGCCGCTTCGCGGCAGCCGAATTCGCTAAAAGGAAGCTCAACGCCATTTTCTCTAAACTGCGTTCTCTATAAAGGCATTCGATAAGCCGGGGTCGCTAAAACGGAATTCACTAAAACGAGCTTCTCTAAACCGCATGCCTCCGCAGCGAAGCCTCATTCTGACGCTTGTTTGGCAATTTAGGCCCCAAAGCTCCTGCACGAAAACCAAACAACCAGAAGTGAAGCCTAAGCCTGGCACTTGTTTGGCGATTTAGGGCCGAGGTATCCAGAGTCCAGCCGAAGAAGACAAAGTTTTGCTCTAGATTGACTTCTCTGGGCTTCATCGAGGCCCTAAATTCTCGAACAAAATCAAAATTTTGGACCAAAGAACTGCGCTAACTGGGCATACTCTGGGCTGCGGTGTGCCAATGTACTTGGGTAACCGCAGTCCTGCTTTGAAGCTTGCACGCTAATACAACTGCGTTTTGGATAGTGAAGCCTGCCCCCAGCGACTATTCGCGACTCCAGCAAAACGGACGCCGCCAAGCGGAAAAACCGGGAACCAGTCGGTCCAGGTCGCTCCGCGCCCCGCCGCGTCTCTGATGGCTTTCGCGGACACGTGCTGTCGGCGCGGCGGCAAGCAATGTAATTTGACGAAGGTCCGAAAATTTCTTAAGTTTGCTTGAGTGTTCATTAGTGTGGTGAAGCCTCAGTAGATTGTTTCTTTCCATCACGTGTTTGAAAGCCGGTTTACTCCACAACACACGGTCGCGTGCTTTCAATTTTTTGGATGAGGAGGAATCACAGAAAAACGTTTTGATTTCTCGTCTGTCTCTAATAATTCAAAGTGACGACTGGTTGGTAACTGATAAGTGGTTTCTTTATAAGGGTGTAGAACAGTGGACTGAGGTCGACAGACGAAGTGTTTCACTGGAGGGAACACCAATGTTGCAGTCAAGTGAATGGGAAGGTTCGATAGCTGCTTTCCTTGAGTTTGGTTGTGCTCGATTAGCCTCAGGTTAGTTTAGCCACTAACGCCGGCCGGTGCGTTGGCTATTCATCTTAGCGGCTTTTCGCCGAAAAAGACCACATTGAAGGAGTTGGGCTAATTTCGCAATTACCTGATTCAGAAAACCTGCTTGCTGCATATGATTAATGAGGGAAATTATCTGCTTTCAAAAGGTGGGGGACGCGTCTCGCAAAGTTAGAAGCTGTCACGTCATTAGGATCTATCGCGCCTCCAATATTTATATTATAAGCCCTGTCGAAGCCAGCAGCAATATACGTCTACATTGCTCAGGTTGACCGGCCACAAAAAAATACTAATTTTTTCCGTTCAGGATTCGAAGTCAAGTTCAATGCACAGAGAGGTTCTGCGTGAATCTCCAATGAAGACTCTCTTCAGTTTGTCTGCACTCGCCTCCGTTCTACCGGCTAGAACCATTTGGCTAAGTTTAAGTAGTATCTCTCTGTCTGTCAAATATACTTTTATTCAGCAGTTCACCTAATAGTTAGTTAACTAAGTTCATATTTCAACCCGAAGAATATACTAATATCGCTTTAGTGGGGCATAGTACGTAATATAATACATAATTCGCATATTCGTCAAAATGACTTCTCGATTGCTACTAAAACCTGAATTGAAATACGAGTATCACTCGCTTAGTGAAGCGCCAGTGAGTTGACATGCTAGCTGCTTGGCTCAAGAAGCGCTTGCTTAATTTTTGTTATTTCCCTGCAGCCTGTGTTCTTGACCGAGCACACGACTGGAGCTGTTTCTTGAAACGCGGACAGGCACAAAAGCTCAATTTCGCGGACAGATAAATCGCATGGTCGAGGCATGCGAGTTAGCTAAAACTTACTCTCGGTGGAACAATTTTGTAGCCCTCGCCGCTTTCCATAGATGATCAAAACTAATTAGAGTCTATTACCGTTTCTCCGAAGCCCATAGTTTCGGTTTTTATCGAAGTCTCCGAAACGAAAGTTTGACATGAAAAGAACAAAAAACACCGGCAAAACAAAACAATGCTCGGCAAGTTTATGCGCACCGGCTACACTTAACAGTCTCAGTTCAAATACCCATAAAATTGGGCATTCAACAAAAGAAAATTTGTTAAATTGAATGCGCCACCCATTCAGGCGGCGCGGCCGATCCGACGCGACCTGGACTCAGCCGCCATGTTTGTTTGGTGGTGGCGCCCCCTATAGGTCGCTGGAGTCGCGAATACGCACCGGTATAGAAGACGTGCTGATCCGTCGAGTCCCAAGCGACGGTCCACGCCTCGAAGTCGTGACAGCTCCACGTCCGCTCGTGCTCCAGCTCTGACTCCGCGAACCGTAGCACAGACACCTCCCCGTTGGAGTAGCTTGTGGTGAGCTTCTCGGGCTCCCTGAATGGCATTTCCACATCAAAACTTCAAAGACGTTCTAAAAAAAAAAAAGGAAGCATGTGGAAAAAGCGTTATTACATGGTCACTTTGTGCACGTGTGCAAGAGACGAGGGCTTGGCGTTGGACGCAATTCAACGTGCACGACGACGTTCAAGCAACTTCAACACTACATTGTGGAAAAGCTAAATTGACTACCTAATTAACTTCTTTACAAATTGTTTTGCGAAAACATAGAGTGGGTTAACATTTGTTTGAGTTCAGGCTCAGATATACAGTAACATGTATCATAGCAGAATTTCTTCTTGGGATTTTTGCCAGCCCCAGTTATGTACAAAGTTGTGAAAGGACACGACAGCTAGGACGAAGCCCCAAAACTAAAGGCAAAAGGAAAGTGACCAAGGAGAAGGTAAAGCAAACATCTCAAACTCAGCCTGCCATCTGTTGCAGTGATGGAAACGGCATTTGACCTTTTGTAGCAGGTTCTGTAGCAGGCAAAACAATGGTTTGGAGCAGCCACTGATGTTTTTGGAGCAGATGCCAACATCTGTTAGCACATCACTTGAGAGCGAAAAAGTGATTGCATTTCAATGAGCTCATTTATGATAGTGGTGAAGAGTTCCTCTTTAATACTCAAGCATATTACTTATTATTATTTGTGATAAGAATAGATAGGACACAAAAGGAACAGTATTCTTAAATAAGGCTCTAGTCAGAGTAGGTTTCATTTACAATGAGTATAAAAAAATGGTTGAAAAGTGAATCATAGTGCAACACTTCATTGGGATAAATCTTCTGTCCCCTCTTCATTTTAGACTCAGTAGTTTGTTTAGCCTGTAAATATAATTTCTGTAAAATGCCAGCAAGAATCAGCATATTCACTAACATGACTACCAATAAAAGTGTGTCCCTACCAACCTACCAAACTCAAGACTCTAATATCACAAACAGCAAAAACAACCACCAAAAAATATTATAAAGTCTACACTTGCGCTTTAAAGGTGACACTGCCTTTTAGAGGCGTAGGAACCAGAGTTACATCAAAGCTCGCTGCTCTTTCGATTGACAGCTGTACCGTGACTATCGTATTCTTTAAATATATATAGACCCTTGTTTTCTTCTCTCTCTTTATCTGCTGTTTTCTTTTTTTAATTAGAGATTAATTTACAATTAGGACAAAGAAGTTTGACCTGCAATAATCCCGGGCATAATTGTGTGCCTATTGCGCTAAACCAGGCACTCCCCCAGGTCAGTCGCTGCTCCTAGCGTTCCGATGGGAAGAGGTGGAGCTCGAGAGGCGAAGGTTGATGTGAGCGGTGCAAATGATACAGTACTCTGCGGTCACGGAACGAAGGCAAGTGGCAGACATGGTAATCGAGTGATCTTATCAGGAGTACAAGATCCTGGTCCTGTTTTATCACATTAGCTGCAATCGGCAATTCTACTATTTTGCAACGTTTTCTCGGGACTCTTAGTTCCCGACGTCGATGACGTCGTCTGGAAATTTAGACTATGTCGGTGATCAACCAGCCACGACATCGACGGCTCTGGCCGGTTGATTCGCAGCATTGAAGCGTGACATTGTGGCGTTCGTCATTTCCTTGTGCGTGTTCGTTCATCGGCAAAACTAATCAAGTGCACCGAATGTCCCGTGACTTGTGCTTTTAGTATGTGTGTTTGTGGTTGTATGTGTTTGAGCCTTCGACTGTACTCTGACCTAAGACAAAACAAATTATATGGTGAGTAGAGACGCTGAGAAATTCATATTTGTAACAATTTTTCTTTCCTTCTACTTCTCTGAATAGTAGGGTCGATCAATAGTACGACTAATTTGTTTTGCTTTAAGCCCATCTTGGCACAGGTGTGGTGCAATTTTTAGCAAAAATGGCAATTTGGCGCAAGATATAGCAGACTTTCTTTCATGGCACAATTTGGTGCAAATGGCGCAGCACTTCCATCACTGCTGTTGTTTTCCCCAGTTACTGAGGTGGCACAGTAAGAGTACAGCAGCTTGCCTGAACCTAAACCGCAGCATCTTATGACATGCATACTTGATGATAACAATCTGGATAGATCAGGCAATCCTTGGAATCAAAGAAAGTAACGACTCACATTGAATTCCAGCAGACCGCCAAGGCCAACGAGCCGGCTTCAGACGGTCCAGTCTCGGCTATGGTATCAATGTTGACCGCACCATTGTCAGTGGAGAGCAGACGACGGACTTGAACTGCGCCATCCGAGAGCGCAACTGCGAGGTTGTCATGCGACCACTTCAAGTCCAAGACTCCTGGCACTTCATAAACGCCCACTCGATCGCAAGCGTCGCCAGTGCGCCGAAAGGCGACTACGGCACCATTGCGGTTCCTAGTCTCCTGAAAACAAAAGGCACGACGGAAGTCTAATGCATCAGTTATCGTCCTCGAAATCTCTACACGGAGAACAAGTTGTCTGCTTCTTGTGCAGGGGATGTGGTGACAACAGAACGACGGAGAGTTCTGATTGCCTTTGATTGAAAGGGTAGCGGGTAGACTTTGATGCTACATGTTTAGAGGTCTACTCACTATTTTTTTCGTTCAGCCAATAAGAGCTCAGCCTTCTGACATCATCACAACCCCTGTGCAAGAAGTAGACAAGCTTGCGCTCCACATATCAAGGTAGAGCACGAAAATGAATATAGAAGTGGTGTGTACGGAACTCCATCGTATTAGGGCTAGTTCGCACGCTTGCATTCACTTATGACCAAGTTCTTGCGATCTCTTACGATGAGAGAACATGCGGGCACCATTTATGAGGGGGCACTGGAACTGCATTCCACTCAAGCGAAGGCTTTGCAATATTTGCAAGATCATATGCCCATACTATACACGAGAAATGGTGGTTTATAACAGATGCCTCCAAACCCTGGTCTTCAGACTGGGCCACGTCTGGTCACGGTCGTTTTTATGAAGCCCAGCCTGCGACCCGCTTCCAGCAGACCCGCTGCTAACGGTGCAAAATTAAAGGCATATAAAGAAACGGCACAGTGACATGCTTTAAATAGGCAAACAAAGATGCCAGAAAGAATGATAGAAATTGCATCGGAATGCGAGTCCACCCGCCATATTTTTAATGGAACATTGCCATCACCAGCCACCATTTTGAGTCACCTGCTTCATGACAGTGAAACTATGTTAAAATTCCCTTGCATTCACGTGTATGCACATTGTGCTTAGTGTTCTCTGTCACAACCATTGCATTTTTTCAGTGTTAGTGTGATAATTTCCATTAGTATTTTGCACCGCACGAATGTGCCAAAGTTCTCATGCACTTTGATTCAGGCCTGGTGAGTTTTCTAGGTCACAATTGTAGTGTAATGTTATAATTAGCTAAATACTACTTTTAAAATGAAAGTATATCTATTCATGCCCCTTAGGGCTTTTATACACTAACTCTAACATTCATTTTTCTCTTTAAATGCTTATCTAGGTTTATTTATTTTCTTTCGTTTTTCGTTACTCCCCGTTCTTCCAGCCCTCAAAACCGCGACAAATCGCCAATCGGCCCGTTAGCCAAACAGTTTGGAGACCACTAATTTATAACATTATCAAGGCTTTCCCAGGCAATAATAAAGGACCATGGGCAATGAAAGTAGGAAATAAACAGAAGTCATAAGTGTTTCCACAAGTGTTCTCTCCTCGTAAAAAATCGCAAGAAGTTTTAATACACTCGATCGAAAGCAGTCGCAAGTGTGCAAAGTAGCCTTTAAAGTGTCACCAGAAAGAAAACGTAATACTGCTAAGAAACATCCAATGAAGCAAGTCGAATTATCACAATCCCGGTGATGTGATGTAGAAGCATCAATAAAACAGGCAAATACATAAAGCCATCTCTAGCACCGTGACGTCCCACATCGTTCCTGTCCGAGTTCTCGTAAGCTGACCGGCTGGGGGGCACGTTACGGCCAAAGAAGCACCTGCTGTACTCCGCATCTATTGATTACAGCCATAGCTCCTTAAACCCAGCACTGTTGAAGTGGTGCGACACGAAGCATACTTACGACGTTACCACATGCAGATACAGCCGACAAAATAAACACTAAATGAACCGATGAGTCGGCCAGCTGTCCCAGACGCCACGGTAAAAGTGAGGAAGTGGGGTTTAGGTTTCATAGAGCGAGGCTCACGAATGGAAGGGATCGAGGGTCGGTTCTTTACCCCACCCAGTGTTGGGGCTTCGATCGTTACTGTTAATGCGACACGCTTCAACATGGTTCGGAAGTAGCAAAATATTGTGCCGCTTCTTCGCCATTTCTCCAGCCAGCCAGCCCAACAAAGTTTCTCGAACAATCTCGTCACGGCCTATTCGCGGGAAAAGGCGATACACTGAGGAGGAGGGAAAAATTAACTTCAGCATTGGCAAAGCTCCTTTGCCATCGAGACAATTTGCGCGTCGGGTCGGAGGGAAACATGTCACTACTTTCTGGCAAAGCCACGAGCGGGAGAGGTACAACCCGTTTCTGTACGAATTTTGAGTAACGGGCTAATCTTCTAAGGAGAAAAAAGCGACCTCTGGGGCATGCGTAAATAAAAGACAGTACAGTACTACTGTGGTTGATGGTCATAACGTAAGAGGTTTATCTCGGGGATTAGTACATAGTCAGATTGAGGCACGAATATATTCCGTTCAATGGCACTCGTGAGCGCGCTTACGAGCTGCAACACACTCTTAAAGCGCGAAACATATGTACGACGAAACCGTCTGATCCGACGTCCGATCAGGCAATACGACGGTCGGAGGCGAGGGTTTACAACGCTCTCCGGTGCCACGAAAACCCTCGCCCCCGAAGTTCATTCCGGCAGTTCGCACGTCGGATCGGACGGTTTCGTCGTACATGTGTTTCGCGCTTAACGGCACCGAAAACTAGGAGTGCGACCTTACTTCGTTTAATTTGTAGGTGCCGACCACAAAGCATTCCGGTTGACTTGGGCAAAACTCGACGCTGTCAGCCGGCAGTTCCAACTTCGTGGACCATGTTTCCATCGCGTAGACGAGTACGGATCAATATGGGCTTGGTTTACAGTTCATTGCGGTCGGAGTTATAGCGTTCATCCATTTCAATACGCGAAAATCGAACTTCATGAACACGCCGAACACGCGTTGAGCAGCCCGCGAGAACGCGACGTAAACACGAGTGAGCTCCGGATTCCGGATCGAAATCGTACTTGGAAATCGGATGGACATACCAAATTAAGCACGCCCGGGATGTGGATTTCAAATTTTCATTACCTCATTACCTTGACAAATAACTATCTTTTGAACTTGAAGTTGTAAACATAAATTAACTTATATAATACTTGAGGCTGAACTGCGAGTTTAACTCAAAATTCTACCACATTAAATAGGTGGCGCGGATATCGCTATTGGGCGGCCATCTTACATGCAGCCAAATCAAGTTTATTGGGGTGTTGCAGAGGCTGGCGGCCGCGTGCTGAAGACAGGTTTTCTACTTGTTCTTCGTCATCCACAGAAGGAGCTTTTCAAAACACTGTGTAAACGGTGGGATTTGTCGTGGGGAACCGAGGAAATTTTCATGAAAGCGTAGTACCGCAGGAAAAAGGCACAACTCGTCTAAAGCAAGTTTCACCGGTCTCGCGGTGTGATCAAAGCTTCCTTGACACGCTGAATTGCCTCATTTCTGTGCCTTTGCACACTTGGATATCGATCAACAATCGACGCCACGGCAAAGTTTAAAGGGGTTATGACACGCCGGAAATAAAATATGAGATAACTATACTGCTGGGACCCATTGTATGTTCCTATAATCCTGCTAAATTTGTTTTGAAAATGGCGTGATAGTTTCGTGGATAAATCGATTACTATGCGTGTCCCTCGGAGGGGCGGATCCGGGCGGAGCTGGAGGTTGGCTACGTAGTCAGCCTCCAGCGCGGTGTCTCCTTGCACGCACTCACAGACTTGGCTCTCTTGGCGTCTCAAGCCTCGGCTTCTTCGTTTACCTTTCACGTTGCGAGCATGCGGTCCGCGACGATTATGTCTACGGCATCGCTCGCCTTGTCAAAGTGATCGACATTGATCGCCGCAGCAATTATAGTGATTGCTATCAAGAGATGTTGGAAGCTGTTCATTTTGACTGCGACCCGCTGGCGACCAGCTCCAGCGACGACGAGTTACGGACGAGCCCCCCGTGGTCACCGTCGTCCGGGAATATCTCGCAGGCGCATGCAGGATGGAAGGTCAACGGGCCGGGGGTGAGAGCGAGGGTAGCGTTCGGGTTACCGAGTTCCGTGAGCCGTTTTAATCGTACCGCGGCGAGGAGAGCTTGGGCGATCATGAGGGCGCCTAGAATAAGAGAGCGTTCATGGTCACGTGGTTTATGGACACCATGGTGCAACGTTACTAAAACACTCAGTTGGGAAACTCCCATAGAGACAGCCCTAAAAATATGGCTCCAATCTGCCTCCGAGCACCGAGCTAATGACGAACACAACGCCACCATTTCTCCCGCAGCGGCCACCCGAGAAACTGCACGTGACTTCTATTTTTGGCTTTGACAGGGGTGAACCGCCGTCTCCCCGGTGGACGCGCCACGTTGAACTACTGAAGTTAAAATGCACCTATGTCGGGACGCGCTACCTGAAAGGCCCGCTGAGGCATGGTTTTATAAAAAACAATATTAATTGTTCCGCAAAACCCTGCAAACTAAAGATGATAGAAACACCACGCGCCCATCATTTGGTACTAAACTCCAATAAATTTCATACAAAAAGAGTCTTTTCCGTTTGTTTTTACGCAAAAAACATGCTTTCTAAAAGCTCAAGGTGACCACAGTACACACAAACGATAAAGAGTGGCGCTGTTGTCGCATTTAGCTCGGTCTTGGTGGACGCCAGCGGCCAAGTTTCGACGGCGAGTTTCCCAACTGAGTGTTTTAGTAACGTTGCCATGGTGTGACTAACTTGGGCAGTGTGCCTGGTCTCCAGATGAAAATGATCAAAATTCATAAATTGAATATTGCAATTACCAGAGCTCTAAAAAACGCGTAACTTGGTGTATGTACTAAGTAGCCTATGAGCATTCCATTTCAAGAATAATCTATCAGTTTAATTTTCGTGTCATAACCCCTTTAAAGGTGTGTCGCACATATTAGATATCTTCGCAAGTCCGGTCTCAGGGCGCTGCCATCTTGCTCAGTGGGGTGCGCTCTTGGGTGCGGCCATTATCCGATTACGACGCCTTAGCAAGGCTTCATAATCAGATTATGATGCGTCCAAGCGCACCCCAGCCGAGCAAGATGGCAGCGCCCTGAAGCCGGAGTTGGAAATGTGCATATCGGCCACAGAGTTCTGGATCGTCCAGCTGCTCCCGCGAGTATCTATCAATAAAGGGAGAAAAAATCTGTTTGGTTGCTGTTATGCACTATTAACCATACTTGGGTAGTAATTCAATTACAGTAATTGAATTACTGTAATTTAACACCTTTTTTGGTAATTTGTAGCTGTAATTAATTAATTTAGGCTAAAGGAATTGCAATTGTAGTTTAATAACTTTCTAGCATCAGTAATTGCAAAATTTCAAGCACAACTACTATTACTTTTTGCAAGATTTTGCGGCGCCGAAGTAACCTCTCTGAAAGCCTTAGCGCTCGCACAAGCAGCCTAGCGCTCGGTAACACACTCGCACACAGATACGCGCTCACACCCACGCACAGAAAAAATAGCGTCGCGTAGTGTGTTGTTTTGTTGCTTACACTGCGGGCTGAGGGACAAATCCTCTTTGCAGTTACCTCAACGGCGCCTACCTCAGTGGTGCAAGCAGAAAATAATAGCGCAAACACGCCAAAATATTGAAAGAAATAAAATTGAGCTTCAGCTTTTAGCCAAAGTTGGGAATTTTAATTGTCTACGAAGTTATTTTTTCTTTGCCAGTTTTTTGCGTCCTTTTTTCAGTACTGTCGCATATTTGTATCTTTGTATTATTTTCAGGTTTATTTCCTGTTTGTTTTATTTCGGATATTATTTGTTTAAACATGTTGGAGACTGACCTCGCACCTATGACTATTGTCGCAATGATTCGGGAGCCCCGATTGGGTTCTTATATATTTCTGAGCCATTAAAATTTCAACTCCACCTAAATAATTTACAATAACATGGTGTTTTTATGTGAATATGGTCGTATCAGCGCATGTGGATTTTAGTTTTATATTAACACGTGTAAAATATTTATTTTTTATTTGCCTAATTAACCAAAGTTTGTCAACCCAATATTTTCTTTATCGATCTGGTGTATCGCAGCATATGAACTAATTTATTATTATTTCTTAAAAATATAAGAACGTAGTATTTCACTGCCCCAAACTGTCAAGTTTTTTTCATGAATTTAACAAAACTCGTAAAAGGAAAGCACAATGCGTGACATTTATGCAGCGATGCTTAAGCCTCCTCGAACATTGGGGCAAGGAATGAACAAATATGTTGCACACAGAATAAACAAAAAGGACGGACAAGGACGGACATCTTTCGACTTTCAACAACATGTACATGTTGTTGAAAGTCGAAAGATGTCCGTCCTTGTCCGTCCTTTTCGTTTATTCTTTCTGTAACAAGTTATCAAAACCAACGCGCTCACGTTCAACTATACGTTGCATTCTATACAACTAGTTTAAAGTTATATGGCCCAAGTCGGGTCACTTTCAGAAATAAGTAATTGTAAAGTAATTGCATTATTTCTAGAAGTAATTTTTATTGTAATTAATAACTTTTCACATAGTAGTAATTGTAATTGCACTTAAGCTACTTTGGAGCAAAGTAATTGTAATTAAATTATGTTTTGGAAGTAATTTACCCATATATGATTGCCAATGGCTATGTTCCAAACCTATTCTAATGGATCACATGGCAGCACAAATAGACCAACGCTATGGAGCAAGGAAGGTTTTCGAAGTCGAAAATACAAAACAAAAAAGCGCCCCCCCCCCCCCCCCCCCCTTTCCCCTTCTGTCACCACTGGACACTGGATCAAGCCCGTTTCTGGACTGCGAGTGCCGCAAGTTACAAATACCGTCAAAGTAAAACGCTGCTCCAGAGGCACTTACGGCTTCACGCACATTGCCCTCGCAAAACACATTCACACGGCGTCGATTCTTGATCGGTATCCAAGCATGCGAAGGTACCGAGGCGCAGCTCTTCGGCGTGCCAAGGAAGCTTTGATCACGCCGCGAGACGATGAAACTGGCTTTCGAAGAGAGCGCCTTTTTGCTGCGGCGCTGCGATTTTGTAAAGATTTCCACGTGTTCTCAACCGCAAGTCTCACCGTTTTCACATAGGTTTAAGAAACGTCTTCGGCGTGTAACGGACGAACCAGAAAAAAACGTGCCTTCAGCAGCCTGCCGCCAGCCTTTGCAACGCTCCAAAAACTCGAACTGACCGGGTTTCCACAGCCCGGAAGGGTGGCAGAAATTTCTGACTGATAGGGGTCGCGAAATTTGCAATATGGAGTTAGCCGGAGAGCTCTTTTGGATAGGTCTATAGCGCTATGCTCAGATAAGGGATTAGAAACTGAGATCGGCTGCTGCAGACGCTGCTTATGCGATGTCTCTACTAGGATCCGCACTGCGGCTTCACTGTCTTCTAGCACACTTCCCATAAATAACTTACTACTTCTGCCACATATAGAATCCAGGATTACCTTGCTGGCGGCGTCGACGTCTGTCCCAACCACTGCTCCAAAGCGTTGTCTTCGTGTCCTATATGTTCTTTCTTTTGTCCTGTTCCAAGAAAACGACGCGCGATATCCTTCTGTCGCTGCCACTGAAGAAAGACGCAACCGAAGGAAGGGAAGTGTCTTTTCATTTAGGGGTTTTGTTAATTTGTTAAAAAAAGACATGTACAGTGCTAGACACGTTTGATGTAAGGAAGGCACCGTTGCCATGGCATTCAGTCACATCGAAAAAGAGAGTATGAAAACAAACAAAAAAAGGTTGGAAATTCGCAGTGCGCAAGTGCACTTTCCGACTCCCATGGGTTCGAGAGTACGTGGTACGGAAACAGTCTCGCCATCTCGGCTACGGTGAGCGACAGCCTCGCTACCTTTCCCTCTTAGCAGAAAAGAAAAGTTTTAATATTTTGTGGAGAAATGTTTTTCTTCATCCAGACCGTTCAGCCTCCTTGACATGTCTGACACGAAAATTAACGAAATAA